TAGCACTAGTAAACAGGACGGTGTAGATAGTATGATAACCTGACTAATAATATAATACCAACAATAACACTAGTATACAGGACAGTGTAGATAGTATGACAATTTGACTAATAATATAATGCCAACAATTGCACTAGTATATAGAACCGTGTAGATAGTATGATAACCTGACTAATAATACAATGCCAACAATAACACTACAACATAGAACGGTGTAGATAGTATGATAACCTGACTAATAATATAATACCAACAATAACACTAGTATACAGGACAGTTTAGATAGTATGACAATCTGACTAATAATATAATGCCAAAAATTGCACTAGTATATAGAACCGTGTAGATAGTATGATAACCTGACTAATAATACAATGCCAACAATAACACTACAACATAGAACGGTGTAGATAGTATGATAACCTGACAAATAATATAATACCAACAATAACACTAGTATACAGGACGCTTATATTATTAGTCAGGTTATCGTACTATCTAAACCGTTCTGTATACTAGTGTTATTGTTGGTATTATATTATATTATTAGTCAGGTTATCATACTGTCTACACGGTTCTATATACTAGTGCAATTGTTGGTATTATATTATTAGTCAGATTATAATACTATCTACACTTTCACATTGCAAGAAGTGCAAGCTAATTATGTGACCTAAATATAAACACTGAAACTTAACTGTTCTGATGGCTAGGAACTGACTTTACATATATACAGATAAACAGAAAATAATGTACAATACAGTAAGTATTCCAAAAGACCTAAGAAAACAGTTTAAATTCAATAATTATTCAGATCGAATATATCAGAAGAGAAGATAAAATTTTCCACTACAGAAACAGTTACCTTGTTTTCTAGCTGTTTGAAGGTGGCAACAGAGTTCTGGTGTTCTCTGGCATGTAAGTGAGCAAAAGCTTTAATCCATGAAGGCAGCCTACACATTAAGTCAAATTATTTGAAAAAAAGAAAAAATTATGTTCCGTTTTAACTGCGAACTTTTAATACTAAGTACAAGTCATCAGCTATGTTTCGAAGTATTCAGAAAATAACGAGTAACCAATGCTATGACTATCAGAAACTAATCAAGTTTTTTCTTTTTTCCAGTATTGATATTTACTCTAAGGACTCAATTATCTTACTCCTATATAACAGTTTAATCCTTCAAAACTTTGGGTAAATAACTGGTAAAGTATAACAAAACATCAGCAGTTTTCTTTATAAATACCAATTACAAATAAACGTTTCAAAAGAACAAATATTTATGGAGAAATGCTAGTTTCTGTTCTGCATATATTTTGAACCTGATGAACAATCTTCTATTATTGAACACTGAGATGGAAACTTAGTAACAAATTCATAAGTACTTCTGCACTATACAAAATAATGTGGTTGATTACTCATGTCAGAGAAAAGCCACATTGGACTATCTGCCGTGTCCACAAGGTGGAATCAACCACCAAATTTTAGCACTATAAGTTTGCAGACTTACCACTGTCTGACCAAGGGACCTACATAACGGGACCCATTTATAAGACATTTCATTGTGTATAATTTAGTAACTTATAGGCATCAGTGATAACCAAGGTTACCAAATTTAAATAAGTTCTTGTCGATGGGAAGTCAATAATCTTTTACATCAAGTTCAAAAGATTGTATATTAAATACTTTCTTGGTGTTAAAATGTATATTGAAAACTTCATTATGAAGTTAAAATACCAGTTTTCCACATTTTATTACTTTTAATGATTATTTTCAAAATTAAACAAAAATATGAGTTATAAGTTATAAAATTAGTAGTCAAGCTGATTGGATTTAAACCTTTCCAACCCAGAACCCCATTGTTTTATAAAGACAAATTACATCATTAAATTTTAAAATATTCCATTTGATTGCACTACTCAAATCAGCTACAAAATACAACTAAAATGTTCATATTTAGAATTTTGTTTTGATGTACATTTTGTTACCATCTGTTTTGGATGTATTAATAAAATGCACACTGCAGTCACTAATTTATTTTTGCATCCCCCTCAAATGTTAACTTTATTTGGGGAATAGAAATATTTAAACACCTTATCTATATTGGTAAAAATTATTAACATACAAAGAAAGTGGCAAATTGGGGTCTTTAAGGACAGTAAATATTTTGAAATTCATGGTATCAAAAATTGCAAAATTTAATTGACTGCCTTTCCTGTTTTACTATTTCCAAAGTTCTGAAGCTAACAAAATCGTTGGCTGAGATTCATTTTTTATTTTATTTTTAAATTTGTTTGCTGTATATCTACCTTTTTCCTTATATGGATTGTAAATTCCAAAATTTTAGTTACTATGTCACAGAAGCCTTCCTTGATCCCGTGTCTTCAAATAATCAAACTACATTATGGTTCTGAATTTTTGATATGCTACATAAAGGTAATAAATGTACTTTATTTGTCTCCATGCTTGTTTATTGATTTTGTTTGAAGTAATTAGTTTGGAGGTTCTTCTTGATTTCACATAAATCTCCTGCCAGTTAATTTAAAACTTTGCTGTGGCATAAGGTTACACATTAGCGTAAGTGTGTTTATGAGGGAATCTTTTTTGAAAGAGCTGTATATAATCTCTGAAAGGAAGACAAAGAAACTTTTGACAATGAGATATAGTACAATAAGTACTAATTGAATTAATTTGATCAATATATATACACACACACACACATATATATAT